TCGCTGTCCTCGATCTCGGGGCCCTCCGAGTCGAAGAGGGGCCCATCGACGATCTGCAACGTGCCCTCGTCGACGAGAGTCGAGAGGTCGATGGCCGAAGAGGCGGGCGTCTTGGCCTCCTCTTCGAGAGGTCGGCGACGGCAGCTGCTTGGCACAGGCCGCCTCCCAGTCTGGCTGGGCCTGGTGCGCCGCCTTGACGGCCAGATCCCCCGCCCCCCTGGCATCGGCCAACCGTTGGTCGCCCTCGAGGGCGCGGGCAGAGCGGGTCTCGAGCCGGGCCTGCGCGCGCCTGCGCGCGACTCCGTTCGCGGAGACCTTCTCCTCCAGCGGGGGCGGGCGACGCGGAGCAGGGGCCGCCGGCTCAGCCTTGGCCTGCCGCTTGGCTTCAAGGGCCTTGGCCTTGAGAGCTCGTCGACGTCGCCCAACTCTGCGCGGAGCAGAGCGACCCGGTCAGTAGAAGCCGTGGGCGCGTGGCGAGCCTCGGCCCCGCCGCCACGAGGGCACCACCAGTCCGCATTGCAGTGGACCCAAAGGGCGCCGATCGCGCGGCGCCCCCCTCGGCGCCCCGCGGCGGCACGGGCGGGGCCCTGGCCCCCGCGCCCGCGGTGCCACCGGCAGCGCCTGCGGCCGCGGGCGGGGCTTCGGCTGCCGGCGGGAGAGGGTTCGACGCAAGCGCCGGGCGGCTGAAGTGCCGCTGACCGCCTGGGAGCTCGTCGGGCGACGGGTTGGGCACGAGCGGCGCGCGGCACTGGTAGCATTGAGTCGGTCAAGTCACTCTACAGGAGGAGCATTCAAAAATAGTTCCCCAATCAATGCTTGCACTGAAAGGGTCCTAGCGGAAGTTGAAGGATTTTACGAAAGTTCCCCGCCGATTTTGGTGGCAGGCTGGGTTCCCCGGTTCCCAGGTACCTGGTTTCGCGTTCCCCGGCTCCCGGTTCCGGGTTCCGGGCCGATTTCGGAGGGCGGCGAGGTTCCCGGGTTCCCGGGTTCTTGGTCGATTTCTCGTTACCGATTTCTCGATCGATTACCATCGATCTCACAACCGATATCACTATCAATATCATTAGCGATCGAAGTAGAGATCGCATGAGCGATTTCGCGATCGATCTCATTATCGATCTCATTGAATCGATGCCACTCTCGGTCTCACGATCGACCTTACAATCGTCTTCACTCTCGATCCCACACTCGACCTCATTATCGATTTCACAATCGATCTCAAGATCCATCGCATCAATTTTCAAATCATCCACTGATTGGGTTTTCTCAAATGCAATAAACAGACGAGCCAGGGGACGATGTTTGTCGATTATTTCTGTCTACTGCTGACTATTGTTGGGCCGTTTCTATTTTCTCCCACAATGCGCCTGTATGGGGGACATGCCCGACCTGATGGTAACACCTGCGGTTGGACTTGACGTTCCAGCGGTGGCGGCACGCCGGGCAGCTGAGGTAGGTACATGCTGCTCTGGCCCTTGCCACGGCCGCCGCCGTGACCGCCCTCGGCCCCGCGGCGGCCCCCATGGGATGCCGAAGACCCGCGCACAGCCTGGTCTCGGCAGAAAGCTCTGGCCGCCCGCTGAAGTAGGGGAACAAAAAGTGGCATAAACATAAGCACTCGGAGGTCCGCGCGGATTTTTCGGATCGGCGCTGGAGCCCCCGGGCGGCGCCTCCGGCACCGCCCCTTGCGCGCTCCGCGCGCCAGGGAGGGGGGTCCAGCGCCGATCCGAGAAATCCGCGCGGACCTCCGAGTTTTCATGTTTATGTCGCTTTTTGCTCCCCTATGAAGGGCTGCAGGCGGTGCGCTGGGGCAGACCAGCGGCCGCAAGAAGGACGGCAGCCTAGCCGCGAGCTAGCGGTATGTATTTGTTCCCTTGGGAAGCTCAAAACTTGGAGCCAACATGGATACGGATTGAAGAGGAGTGGGGGGAGGAGGAGCAGGAGGCGGAGGAAGAGGAGGAAGGGAATGAGGATGATGATGAGGACGAGTCGGAGCCTGACCATGAGTCGAATGGGGAGGAGGTGGGGGGAGGTGACGAGGAGGAAGATCAAGTGGAGGATAGTTGTGTACGCGGGGGAGGAGGCTTGAGGGCGGATTTTGGTATCTACGGCCAATGGCCCCAGCTGGATAGGGCAAACAGAACCAAGCTCTGCCACGTCCCCCGATCCCTTGGGATCGATTCCCTTGCATAATCTCAACCAAGCGTCGCTCCTCTCTGGCGTGACTTCAGAGAAGGTCTCTATATATAAGGTTCCGACCATTGTCTTCCAGACGTGTCTGTTTGAATGGCGCAGCTGGCACACTGAAAATGGTGGCTGCGGGATTCTCACAAAGTGGGTTCCAGAGGTGCGGACCCCTTCCGTGGGACTGGTTTCTCATCCTGGCTCGTTTCTAGCCGGCCCTTGGAGGCCGAACATTGCCCAAAGCTTAATTTGCTCATGTGGTCACGACGCGGTGAGGCGGGGCACGGATTTTTCTTGTGCACATATTCGGCGGTTTTGCTCTGCACTGTTGGCTATGTCCTCTTCAAGTGTGTTTCAAGTCTTTCGAGATGCTCTGCCCTTTCTCTGGTGCTCTCCCCCCTGAAGCTTCGACGAGGCCGATCGCGCGTCCCTTGCCGGCTTTACCGCAGAGCGTGCAGCAGAGGTGGCGTGCCTAGCCTCGCAGAGCATCACCGCACTCCGCGCTCGCTGCTCTTTGTCAGTCCCGCCCCCGAGCGCTCGCCGACCTCGCACGGCTCCCACCCGGCGCCCCAAGCCGCCTGCATCGCACCACGAGCCCCTGCGCGACCCCTCCTCTGCCACGCCCTACGCCCCGCGCTGCTCAGACTTGCTCCCCGGCGCGCACGCGACGGCCTTCGCGGTCTGAGTGCGCCTCCCTCCCGCGTCCCCTCGGGCCCTCCCTCCCCGCGTCCCCTTGGTGCCCGGCTGTGCTCCCGCGCGTCCCGCCGCCGTTTTACCGCCGTTTGGAGCTCTCACGGCCGCCGACCAAACAAACATCACGCTCTTATATGTGCGCAATTCGCCCGGCAGTACCAACGCTCAGGCTATGGATGTTGCGCACGGCCGTCGTCGTTGCGACAAAACCACGCGAGGGGTGAGCCCGCCAGTGGCCCACGAAAGCTGCCCCCACCAGAAGACCAAAGGCCTGACAACACCTACGGCAGCAGCTGGTGGGTGCATATAGTGGCAAGCCAAGCCTGAGCGATTGAGCGGCTGACAGTCGAACGGCAAATAGTGCATCGAAGATGCCCATGAGCATCGCACGACAGTGCCATGCTTTGAGTTCTTGCCGCGCTTGCGCCCGATTTGTCCTTGGCGTGCATTCGGAGGCTGACTAGGCGGGTACCGCTGGACGACATCAAGAGAAGTGGCTGCAACACGGGCTCGCTTTTTCTGCGAAGTGTCCTCTGCACCAGTGACGGACGCGAGATCCCCCTCGGACACTTGCGCGCTCGGACACGGCAGAGTCTGGTAGTACGCGCGCCCAGATGGGACCTTACTGCTTCGTAGTCGGCTGCGCACTGCGCAATTGTCGCTAGTTTCGTGGGCGGGGGCCACGCGGATTCAGCCGAGTCCTCGCGGCTCCTTGGGAAGCCACGAAGTGCGCAATTGTCGCCATTTGCGTAGGCTCGTGGGGAGCACGGCGGAGATGAGGGCAGCGCAGATCTTACACATTTGGCAATCTATTGTTTCGCCTCGCGCGGTGAAGAGGTTGGGTACGCTTCGGGCAAAGTATATCGCAAGGGGGAGCCCGTGGCAAAGGTCAAAGCGAGGACCTGACGACGAACAGACGCGCTAACGGTGATGTAGGTAACGACGGTGTAGGTTTCGTTATCGTGGGAACGCGTGGCTCGCGCTTTCCTACAATTCGCTGTGTCGCTTCCGTTAGTGTTAGAAGTGTAGGACAGTGTGGATCGTGATTTCCTACACGTTGCTTCCCAGCATCACCATTAAGCAACATCGCCGTTAGCGTGGCCTTGGCTGGACAGTGATTGCCTGAGCACTGTTTCGACGCTCGTCAGCTGGCAGCAGTCCTGGCCCGAACTGTGCGCCGCAGCAGGCCAGGCATGCTCTCGGCGATTCTGGCAACTTTCTCCGCATGCCTGCTGGGTACCTAAGTGTATATGCCGCGCCTGCGGCATGTGCGCGAACAGTGGTTGCCACCCTGTCGCTGCCACGGACTGCTGGGCACGGCTCCTAACCGTTCGCGGATTATGTCAAATTGGAGATGCCAGAGTCGGTATGGCCTTGCGCGCGGAGCCAGGTACAGGCCCAGCTGCAGAACGTCGTCAGCGACCATCCGAGCTGCACCAGATTGCGCTGTATGGGTCGTTCCTGTAACGGTGGGCTTCCTGCTCGTTCAGCCGCCCTCGGTATGTTGGGATGGTCATCGGATCCCCAGAGCTGATTCAAGACCAGCCTACAATCAACGCGTTGTGCTCCCGAAGAGTCATCTTCTGCCAGGAACGGCACCGCCGACGCCGAGAAAGGCATCGCCAAGAGGCTGGGGCCACCCGCCAAAGGTTCAGCTTGACAGGCCGTGCGGGCAGATCACGGGGTCGGCGAGGCGAGCCTGTCCGACGGTGGCAGCATCAGCTCGGCGGTTGTGGCCGAACCACAGGGGATCACAGAGAGGGGGCTAAGCCCCGCGGCCATTACTCAGCGGCCCAGAGGGGCGGCCCAGTCTCGCGGGGGCGGCGAGCTGCTGGGCGCGGGGCCCCTGACACATGCAGGGGGGATAGCCCGCGCGTCGCCTCCAGCTGGGAGGAGCCAGAGCTGTCGGACGAGCGAGGCCCGGTTTCCTCTTCTGGGCCCTCCTGGGAGCCCCTCGTCGCCATCGCTGGGTCCGCCTCGAAGTCCTGGTCGGAACGCACCCTGGGAGAAGTCTGGGGAGTGATTGGCGGTATCGGTAGCCTTTGGTGTCCCCAATTGTTGGCGCCGCTGTCGGGGCGGTGTTCTGCTTGGCTCAGCCCCGCCCCCCCCCCTCTGCATGCCAGGAGTTGGTCCCGACAAGCGCCCGCGCAAGCTCGGGCGCGCGCAGGGGCTGGACGCGACGGCGCGGCCGAGCTTAGGCGCGGGCTGGACGGGGAGAGAGAGGTCGCATTGGAGAGGTTGCGGGAAGGAGCAGATGGAGACAGGAGCCACCCCAACCCCATTCAGATCCCCAATATTTGCCCTCCATTCCCAGGGTCGGGGGCGTCGGGGAACATCGAAAAAGCGCATGTGAAACCCGTACACCCCCAAACTCGAAATGTGGGTCTTCGGGTTGGGCTGGGGTGGTCTGGCAGGTCATCAGGGAAGGAGTGAGGGACGCGGCCCAGGTCACCCTTAGGGGCGCGAAGGCAGCCGCGCCTCGCGTGTCGCGGCCTGGGCTGTGGACGGTGTCCTTCTCCGGAGCAGGCAGCGGCTCGAAGGGGCGAAGATCACCGCGGGTCGCCCGTCGCGAGGCGCGAGGCGGGAAGCTGGGCGACCTCAGCGACGGGGAGACGCGCTGCCATTCTTATCCCCCTCGCCAGATCATCCTCCTCCTCCTCCTCCTCCTCCTCCTCCTTCACCTCCTTCACCTCCTCCTCCTCCTCCGCCTCCTCTGCCTCCTCCGCCTCCTATCCCCCTCGCCATCCTGGGCCTCCTCCTCCTATCCCTCTGCCTATCCGCCTCCGATCCTCCTGGGCTCGGATCCGGTGAACCGGGGACGGCGAGGGCCAGGGAGCCGGTTTTGAGAGGGTTCCGAACGGTTTTCGCGGGCTTCTCGCCTCGGGATGTCTTCCAGCAGCTGCGCCTGAACGGTCGCCGGACGGGAGGCCCGCGTCATGACCCGATACTCACTAATTAGGCATCGAAAGAGGGGGTTGCAGATGCCAGAGGTGCGTGGATATCATGGCCGTGGGCCATGGCCATAAGAACTCCCAGATTCCATGTCCCCCTCCTTTCCTTTCGAAGTCGGGCGCTTGCCTTATGATGTTCTAACCGATTTTAGCTTTGACCATCAGACAAAATTTCGAGCACGAAGAAAGTACCGAACCTGGAAGGTTTTCACGTGTCGGGCTCTGGGAGGCGATACTCGTTCCACACTGTTTCGATAGTGTTTTGGGTGCTCGAAATTAATTCTGGCATGTGGTTCTAAAGTACCATGGGAGCAACACAACACTTGCCACCTTTCCCGTCTCGTCCTCGCCAAGCCTCCTCGTCCCCGCCACCCTCCTTCGGGTCGGGCGAAGCGGTTCGGCCACGCGCAGAGGGGGGCAGGGGGAGGGGGACGACTTCTTAGAAGGAGGTTGCTCCTTGGAAGGCGAGGGCCCTATTTGTAGATGTAGGGCCAGCGCCTTCCAAGAAACAGCCTTCCTCCAAGAAGCCTTCCCCCTCCCCCTGCCCCCTTGTCAGGCGATCGCAAACATGGATCAAGGGGGCGTGGATTAGCGACGGGTCCCGTTTCCATGGGGAATCGCGGACTTCCGCGCCGAGCGAGGCGGCACCGGCCGCATGGGGAGGGCACCTCCCCCGATCCATGGATTTGGCGACCGCGCGCCAAATCCATGGATCGCTAATCCATGTCTGCGCGCCCCCGAATCGTGAGATCCATCGTGGAATCGACGGTGAGGACGACCGTCCAGTCGATCCTGAGGCCGATTCAGTGAGGTCGATGCAGTGAGATCCGACTCGGTGAGAGCCGATCGTGACGCCGATGGTGAGGCCCCCGGCCCTCCGACCTCGCGCGCGCGGCCCCTCGAGGGGGGTCGGCGGACGAGGGGGCGGCACGAACTCTGCGGCGTGCAGCCGCGCTCAGAGCCCCGCCGCCGGGCGCCTGCCTCGAGTCGCGCGGGCGCCGCCGGCGTCGGGGAGGCGCCAGGCAGTCGAGCAGTCGGGGGTCCCCAAGCGGGGCGGTGACCACAGCGTGCAGTGAGTGGGTGGGGAGTCGGGGTCACCGCACGGTTTTGGGACTCGGGTTGGCTCAAGGCGCAGCCACGAGGGCCCTCGAGGACTCGCCTCGGCGTCCCCCCTTGCCCTCTCCTCCCCTCCCCTCCTCCCCTCCTCCCCTCCCCCTCCCCGCGGGCATCGGCCGCGCGCCGCGCGGCGGTCCTCCGGGGGCGCCGCATGGGCCCTCCCGGCGGCCCTGCGGGCAGACGCCCAGCCGAGGCCGGCTGCCCCGCCTGCCGGAGCTGCACCGGGCAGCCAGCCGGGCCAGGGGCCGAGCGGTGCATGTTCTGCCACCTGGCGGACGGGACGCAGTACGTCCCAACGCACTTCGAGGGCACGGAGCCGCTGCCCTTCGGCCCCGCGCTGGCCGCCCACTGTGCTTGTGCTGCCTGCTGGGCCGCCTGGGTGGAGCAGCAGGCGCGAACCAGCAATCAGCGACGACTGCCCAGCACGCAGGGCCGATCTGGCCCCCGCGTCGGGGAGTGCGAGTTGGAAAGCCAGGACGTCGACGTGTCGTGCCCCGTCTGCCAGCGCCGGGTGGACGTGTGCCAGGGCTGCCCCGCCCAGGCTGGGCTGTGCGGCCCCTGCCTCGAGCGCCTCGTCCTGCCGCGCGGGAAGCTGCCCCGTCTTGACCGCTGCGGCGGCTCTCGGCGCGCGTGCCGCCGCGCACCCTTTTGGTGCATGGTGGCCGTCGCCGTGATCGCGTGGAGCGGCGCGGCCTTCGGTGTCAACGCGCTCATGCGATCTCTGCTGGCCCGAGTGGTCGAGGCAACCGAGCTGGACGGCTTCGAGCTACCATCGGAGATGGCCCAGTTGGTCTGCCCGGCCCTCGGGCTGCTGGGCGGCGTCCCGCACGACCCGTTCCTCGGGGCCCTGGTGGAGGTCGGCGAGCGATTATGTCGTGGGAGTCGCGCGCGCGGCCGCGCTGCTGCCAGCACCAGCGGGTGGCGGCCGCCGGAGGTGACCACGGAGCCGCCGGCAGGAGCGGTGCCAGAGCGCCCGCCCGCGGGCGGCCGCGCGCGGCAGGAGCTGTGAGCGCGCGCCCGTGCTCCCACCGCTCCTGCTCCTCCGTGCTCCTGCGTGCTCCTCCTCCTCCGTCCGCGCGTTTCATCCTCCTCGGCCGCAAACAAGACCTCCTGGCGGCCTCGTCCTCCTACTTATCTGGGCACGCCTCGCCTGCCCACGATCAGAGGAGCCGCGCGGCCATGAATGTGGGTCTGGCTGGAATCGCTGACAGCTGGCCCGTCCACTGGAGCCTGGGTGTTCGATCCTCTGTGCTGGCCATTGAAAAACAATTTTCCCTGCAAAGCAACCTAACAGCGATGTGTATAAACATGTCTGGAAGCGTTCCCCTTAAGGTTCAGGTGAGAATCCAGTTGTAGAATTCTGCTGTTCTCGCAGTCGCAGTCGCATTCGCAATGACAGTCGCAGTGGCAACGGCCTTAGGATCCAATGGAACCCTAAGGATTCCTAGGGATTCCTAAGGCATCCTTAGGCATCCTTAGGAATGCTTGGGAATCCTTAGCCTCAGCCTCAGCCTGCCTCAGCCTCAGTCTCAGCCTGCCTCAGCCTCAGCCTGCAGCCTCAGCCTGCCTCAGCCTCAGCCTCAGCCTGCCTCAGCCTCAGCCTGCCTCAGCTTCAGCCTCAGCCTCAGCCTCAGCCTCAGCCTGCCTCGCCTCAGCCTCAGCCTCAGCCTCAGCCTGCCTCAGCCTCAGCCTCAGCCTCAGCCTGCCTCAGCCTCAGCCTCAGCCTCAGCAGCCTCAGCCTCAGCCTCAGCCTCAGCCTGCCTCAGCCTGCCTCGGTCTCAGCCTGCCTCAGCTCGGGCATTCAAAATATGGCACAGGATTGTTGTTCTGGGAACACAGCCTCAGCGTCAGCCTCAGCGTCAGCCTCTGAGCCTCAGCCTGCATCAGCCTCAGCCTCAGCCTGCCTCAGCCTCAGCCTCAGCCTGCCTCAGCCTCAGCCTGCATCAGCCTCAGCCTCAGCCTGCCTCGGCCGCAGCTTGCCTCAGCCTCAGCCACAGCCTCAGCCTCAGCCTCAGCCTGCCTCAGCTTCAGCCTCGGCCTCAGCCTGCCTCGGCCTCCGCCTCAGCCTCAGCCTCAGCCTGCCTCGGCCTCGGCCTCAGCCTCAGCCTGCCTCAGCCTCAGCGTCAGCCTCTGAGCCTCAGCCTGCATCAGCCTCAGCCTCAGCCTCAGCCTGCCTCAGCCTCAGTCTCAGCCTGCCTCAGCCTCAGCCTGCCTCAGCCTCAACTTCAGCCTGCCTCGGCCTCAGCCTGCGTCAGCCTCAGCCTCAGCCTGCCTCAGCCTCAGCCTCAGCCTGCCTCGGCGTGCCTCAGCCTCAGCCTCAGCCTGCCTCGGCCTCAGCCTGCCTCGGTCTCAGCCTGCCTCAGCTCGGGCATTCAAAATATGGCACAGGATTGTTGTTCTGGGAACACGAAGATCACGAAGTGGCCCACAGCTGGCTCCGGGAATTCAAAATATGGTACAGGAATTTCGTTCCGGGAACACGACGAACACGAAGTGGCCCACAGTTGGCTCCGGGCATGCAAAATGTGGCCCGGGAGTGGTGTTCTGGGAAAACGAAGAACACGAAGTGGCCTACAGTTGGCTCCGGGCATTCAAAATGTGGCCTGGGAATGGTGTTCTGGGAAGACGAAGAACACGAAGTGGCCTAGAGTTGGCTCCGGGCATGCAAAATGTGGCCTGGGAATGGTGTTCTGGGAAGACGAAGAGCACGAAATGGCCTACAGTTGGTTCTGGGCATTCAAAATGTGGCCTGGTAGTAGTGTTTTGGGAACACGAAGAGCACGAAGTGGCTTCCAGTTGGCTCCGGGCATTCAAAATGTGGCCTGGGAATGGTGTTCTGGGAACGGATTCCTAAGGATTCTCAAGAATTCCTAACGATTCCTAAGGATTCCTGGGGCTGGCGGATCTGTCCGGTTCCTTGTCCGGTTCCCGCCCAGACCACCCCCCAGGGGCGTCAAGATGTTCTCTTTTGACACCACTAGAACCTATCAGCAAAAGCTGTTAGGTAATATCCCAGTGCAACCCTACCTAGGAGTTGGAGCCTCTAGGAAAGCAACATCTACATCGACACCGACAGCTACATCTACATCTACACTTGCATATACACCTACATCAACATCAACAGCGAGACTCACATCTACATCTACATCCACACCTACATCTACACCTACATCTACATCTACCTCTACATCTACACCTACATCCACATCTACACCTACACCTACATCTACATCTACATCTACACTTTCGCATTGTTTTTGTTTCTGCTTTGCATTGCCTTTGCTTTTGCTCTTGCCTTTGCTTTTGCCTTTCCCTTTGCTTTTGCCGTTGCTTTCGCTGTTGTTTTTGCTTTGCTTTTGTTTTTGCTTTTGCCTGGTTTTGCTTTTGCTTTGCCTGCGCACAGACACACACACACACACACACGCATGTTTTCGCATTCGCTCACCCGGTGTGCTTGAGAATGCTCCGGATCCGGCCTACACCGCACGACTTGGCATTGAGCAAGGTTGTGCAACATTTGCTACACCGAACGTTCCTGCGAAACTGTACAGCAGCAGCCTCTCCCAGATCGGTTTGCAGATATAGAAAGACATTTAGGACATGCGATGATACGTCGGATTTCATGTCTCCCGGCCGGTGCTATGCGCGAAACCTTCGTGAATCCTAAGGGCTCAAGCTGCCCCACTAAGCTCTCAAGATGGCCCACAGACGGACAACAGGCATGGGAACATACGTGCGCACACACACACATATAAGTACATATGTATCTATATATAGCAGCAGCAATAGTGGATGCGGTGCTGCGCTATGCTATGCTATGCTCTGTTATGATATGCTATGCTATGCTATGCTGCGCAATGCTTTGCTGGGCTAGGCTCGGCTAGGCTCGGCTATGCTATGCTATGCTGCGCTATGTTATGCTGCGTTGTGCTATGCTATGCTCTGCTATGCTATGCTATGATATTGTTTTGCCGTCGCTTTTGCCTTCGCTTTTGACTTTGTTGTTGCTTTTGCTTTGCACCCAGGGAGCGCGACTGGGGGAACCGCGCGTTTGCTTTTACCTTTGCTGTTGCCTTTGCTGGGCCCCCAGGGGACCGGGGGAACCGCCCGGGGCGCTTTGCACTGCCCGGCCCTTTAAGCCAAGAAAGTAAGAACCCTTCTAGGCAGAGCCTAGGTGTGTGGGGGGGGGGGGGGAAACGGTTCTGGGACTCGGGTCGTTCTCCGAGGAGGTCTCGGGCGACAGAGGCCTCCAGGGTCCCAAGACCGTGCGGTGACGGACCGTGCGGTGAGGTCTTGGGGGATTTCGAGGTCACCGCACGGTGTGTCACCGCACCGTTTCGGGACTCCAGAAGCAGTGGCGAAGCGTCTTGGCGTGCCTATAGCCCTACCAAACAATGTTCTAAGAACCCTTCAGTTCCCGCGGAATGTTCTTAGAACAATTCTGTTTTGTGGATTGTCCCGTTTTGTCGCATCGGGCTTCTGTTCTAAGAACGTTGCTATTGTTCTTAGAACATTTGCGGGTTCTAAGAACATTTCGTGGTAGGACTATAGGGATGCCGGTACGGTCGGTCCCTGCTCAAAGGCAGAGCAGGCACGCGAGCGGGTTCGCCAGCCCCGCGTCTTTCTCGGTCGCGCGCAGAGGCGGGCATTCGAAGAAGAAAAACACACATAAACATAAACGTTTGGCGCTCCGCGCGGCTTTTTGGGATCCGCGCCTGGGCCTCCCAGTGGCGCTTCCAGCGCCACCCCTGGCACGCTCCGCGCGCCAGGGAGGGATGTCCAGCGCCAGGGAGGTGAGCGGGTTCGCCAGCCTTGCGTCGGGCCTGTCCTTCTACAGGAGGAAGATTCAAACATTGTCCAAAAATAGTCGGAGGGCGATTGTTCGACTACTTTTGAACATTCTTGTTCTTTTGTGAATATTTTTCGGTCTCCGTCCAAAATCTGCCTGTAGGAGGACATGCCCGATCTAACGCTAGCCCCTCTTCTTTTTCGGTCACGCGCAGAGGGGTGTACGGTAGGTTCGTGTCGTGTCGACCGGCGGCGACCCCGCCAGCGGCGCTCAACGTTGAACGCCGCGGGCGACCCAGAATCGTTCGGTGTGGAACGATTTGGACGTTTCGGAAACGGCCGATCGTTCCAGGTTGAACGGTCCCCGCGGTGTCAGAAACCAACGCCGAAGTCGGCACGGCACGGCGGGCCTCGTCTGTAGATGTAGTGCCAGCGCCCTTTGCAAACCAGCCTCCTGAGAAGCCTTCTCCCTGTACGCATCGCCAACCTTCATCCCCCGCTTCGTCCTGGGGAACCCAAAAGGTACCGATACCGCTACCCGCTACTCTCAGGGCCTCTCCAGGGGTGCGTTGTGACCAGAATGTCGAGGCGAATCCAGCAGTGGTGACGAGGGCCGCCCAAGAGGCCCAAAAAGATGGATACGCTCGAAGGGTAGAGGTACAGGTACTCCGGGGGGGCGTCACCCACGCCGACAGCCCCACATCGACCCCCGTCGTGGGCAGCCACCGCGCGCCGAAGGCGCTCCGACTCCCGTCGCGGCGCGACGACGAGGCGAGGTTGACCCCCGTCGGGGGGGGTGCCCCCCACGCTTATTGGGAACAAAACCGAGTGCCTTCTCCTCTGACGTCCGACCCGATGATCGGCGCGCCCGAGGGGAGGGCTGAGGGGTCCCGAAGTCGCGCGCCTCCTCCGCGGCGCGCGGGCCCTGCACAAGAAGCTCCTGCAGCGAGGCCCGGCTGAGGAGGGTCGGGATTCCGCAAAGGGGGGGGGTGCCCTGGGGTGTACGTGAGTTCGATCGGTTCTTGCATCGAACCGGTCAAAACAGATGCCCCCCAGCCGCCGGCATCTCCCGATGGTTGCCGATAGATGGGGCATGCGGAGGGCATCTGTTTGCGGCAGTTCGGTGCACCAACGGATCGATCTCATGCCCGCCCTCAGGGTCACCACCCTTTGGTGGATCCCGAGAGGGAGCCCGGGGGGGGCGAAGCCCGGGTGAGTGGTTCTAGGCCTCCTAGATGGGGTCGGAGGATCACGCCGCATCGCCGATGCGGCTCGATGCGGAGCCCGATTTTCTTCACACGGACGTCGCCGATGCATTGCCGACGTCGCCGATGCATCGAAGCTGCATCGCCGATGCATCGCCGATGCATCGCCGATGTATCGCCGATGCGGCGCGATCCTCCGACCCCATCTACTCCGACCCCATCTAGGAAGCCTCTAGTGGTGGATGGACTGGCCGTGCATACTGCGCCGTTGTCGGTGGCCTCGGAAGGAGGAGTGGGGGGCTTCCCAGCAAATCATGGGGGCCCTGTGCTCAGAGGAGGACACCCTGGCCTCGTTTTCCCCTTTGGGGGGCCTCCTGGGAGGCCCTCGTCGCCACCGCTGGATTCGCCTCGGAATCCTCGCCAGAGTTCACCCCGAGAGAGGTCTGGGGGGTAGCGGTATCGGTACCGTTTGGTTTCCCATGTGCGTCTTCGAAGCGCAATCTCTAGCATGCATAAACGTGCGCTAGCGTCTGGTGATCGATGAGAACGCGCCGATTCAGCGTTGATTCGCGTTGATTTAGCGCCGGCCAGCGTCGATGTAGCATCCATTAGCGTGGGTTCGTGTCGATTCGCAAGAGCCAGCAAGACGGCACGGGAGGCTCCCGTGAGATGCCACCGAAAGGGGGGGCAAACGTCCACGCTTGCTGCTGGAGCTGGACAGGCCCTTCAGAGTTGCCGCGCGGACGCACGCCCTGCCTGGGCCACAGTCTTCGACTCGCCACCAGCTCCTCACAGGGTGAGTCAGCAGTGACAGGGGGTCTGAACCTGTCGTGATGGGCCTGTTTTCCACCACCACCACCACCGTAAGTCGGAGGGGGAGGGAGTCCTCGTATTTCTCCTCCTCCTCTTCCTCCTCGTCCTCCTCCTCCTCCTTCTCGTCCTCCTCCCCCTCCTCCTCCTCCTCCTCCTCCTCCTCCTCCTCCTCCTCCTCCTCCTCCTCCTCCTCCTCCTCCTCCTTCCCCCCATCCAACTTCTGGTGGTGGTGGTGGAAAACAGGCCCAGCATATCGCCTTTGCGTGTCCCCCGGCCGCGGCCAACGAGGCCACGGCACTCCCAGAGCGAGAGCGCCTCGACTCTGGGGCTCGGCCTGGCTGCCTCGGCAGGGGGAGGCTGCCCTCCTTGGGCGCGACGCTCCCGGGCCTCGTCGCTGAGCAGTGAGAGGGCGCAGCGCAGGCGTATGCCTGGGCCTCCTGGACTCAGGAGGGAAAGGCACACACAGGAAAGTATGAGAAAATAGGGGAAGTGGGGGGAAGACGAAAACCCAACAAATCTAGGAACATGTGGGGAATCATGTTATCTGTGTGTATTTATGTGTGTGTGTGTCCTAGGGCACCTTCATGGACAGGGTCCGAGTAGATGGGGTCGAAGGGTCGCGCCGCATCGCCGATGCATCGGCGATGCGGCTCGATGTGGAGCCCGTGTTTCGCCACGCCGACGTCGCCGATGCATCGTCGACGTCGCCAATACATCGCCGATGCATCGCCGATACATCGGCGATGCATTGGCAATGCGGCGCGATCCTTCGACCCCATCTACTCGGACCCCGTCTAGGAGGCCTCTAGTATGGCAGAGTGGCAGAGGGGGGTAGATAAGAGCTTCCTCGAGCCAGATGATCCGTGGCGCACAGCATAGCTGGAGTGTGCCCAAGCGCTTGGATTGACGAGCGACATGCAGCGTGCGCACCCATTCATTTCCATAGTGTTTCTTGATGCTGGTCACCTGGTCATCCTTGCGCTCATGCAAGTAGCTCATGGTATTCCTCACTCGCCTGCTCACCATCTCTCCGTATTTGCTTCCACTATTTGTGCCTGTGGTTGGAAGGTTTGGTGCCGACGCCAAGAACGAGGCAGAATGCATTCCTTTGGATCTGCGCTCAGAAGACCAGGATCTTGCGCACTCACTATGGCTGTCGCTGCTATGGTGCCTTTGTTTCCACTTCTGCTTCGTACGGTCCCCTCAGCGATCGCCGCATGCATCAACGCTGCGTATCATGCTTGAAAGCGTGACGCTGTAATTCGAACGGATTGGAAACGCACACTTGCACTCGCGTCAGATTGTTTGTGACAGCTCGCGTCTCCAGGCTCCTGAGGGTTGCAACAGCTAAGACGCTCTGCGGCAGCCTCGAATGCAATATCACACGATACGCCTCAGGGTTCGAATCGCTGCAACATGTGGCATATATTTCCCCGTGCGTCAGGATGCCGAAACATGTACGGCTCCCTTCCCCAGTGGGGAGAAGCGGTGTAACATGCGGGAGTATACCGGCCCAATCCGGTCGGTTACCTTCTTGAGACTCTGGGAGTCTTCTTGGGCGCTTCTTGGAATTCTCTTTGTGTTGTCTTGGACCGTCTTGAGGGAGTCTGGGTCTGGGAGTCACCTTGCGCCGTCTTGGCGCTATCTTGAGACGATCGGGGCATTTTGGCGAGCCTTTTGCGGGGAGTCGTGGAGGGCCTCCTTGAGGTCTCTTTGGGGCAAACAGAGTGAAAACGGTGATTGGCCTTGAGTGTATCATTGCTTCTGCGTTTGCCTTGTCGGGATTATTCTCGAGAGATTCCGAGAGGCCTCTTAGGCTTTCTTGGGCGCTGATGGGGCCCCGGGGCTATATTTGGAACTCTTTTGGGGTAGTTTGGAGTCAAACCGAAGCTCGGGATCAGCCTGGAGAGACGCATGAGTCATCTGTGAATGGCTTCGCCGATCTCTCGATCCGGGAGCTTATTGTAAGATTGTCTGGGCCATCGTGGGATTCTCTTGGGGCCATGTTGGAGTCAATAGGTTATCTCGTGGGGCCCTTTTAGGGGCTGTCTCTCTTGGGGCCCTCGTGGCGCTATTGGATCAAGACAGGGGGTGTTTTTTGATTGACCCTCTTATCGCAGCTCGAAAATCTTCCCTTGACCATTTTGCACCATCATGGAGGTCATATTCATGCGTTTTGGGGCCACCTTTCAATCATCTTGTCCCAAACGTCTTCCTAGGATGCCCCCTCCGAGAGGCTACAGCCATTCAACAACCCATTGTTTGTAGGATCTTGGCTTTGAGCGAAGGGGCCTGGTGCTCTTGGGTGCTCTGGGGGCCGTCTTGTAGCCGCTGTGAGGCCCTCTTGTGGCCCTTCTGGGCGATCTTAGAGCCACCTTGAGACTTCGGAAACTTATCGTAAGCGGAAAGGCATGAAGTCCAAAATTGGAAGGCAGCTCTCCCTAAACGCCTTACGCCCAGAGGGCTGGCGGGAGTCTGGAGGGTCTTGGGGCCCGTCCAATGGCCGTCTCGGGGCCTCTCTTCGTGAGGAGCTGTGGCAGGCGGGAGACGAGCAGGCGATACTCTGCACACTGTGCTGGCATCGTCTTTGCTCACGGAGCGCCCAACCCCCTCCGACGATGGATGTCGCGCAAAAGGGGCCCGATCAATGGGGGGCAGCGAGGGCTGCAGAAAAGGGGCCCTGGAGGGCCGCTAGAAGGGCCATTTGGGGCTCAGGAGGGGGGCCCAAAATGGCCCCCAGAGGGCATTCCCTCCCCCCCCCCCTGATCGTCCCCCCATCACAGTCCACTCGCATAGTAAGGATGGGCAGTCTTCCCAAGGGTACCCTTGCATCCTTGCCTCTGCGGCCGCGCCCCGCTCGAGAGGCTTCGAAGTGGGCGTCCAAGGCCCTTGCATCCTTCTCGCGAATCCTCACTGTGCGGGTTGACTGCAAGCGCTGCCCAACGAAGCTTCTGCACCAGGCAGTCGGGATGCTTCTCCGCGGGCCCGCCAGCGCCGCGTCGAGGTCACGACGCTGGCCCTCGGCGGGCCTCTGGGAGGCCGAGCCTGGATGCGGCCGGACGGGGCCCACTTCCCGGCTCGATGCGACCGAGCCAATTCGGTGCCGAGTGTTTCTCGGCTCGATCTGATCTGACTCGGTTTCGATTGGGCCTCGCGTAGTGGAGGGGAGATGCATGGGGGGGGGGGGGGGGCAGCGAGGGCCGCAGAACAGGAGCCCTCCAGGGCCCCTAGAGGGGCCTTTTTCGGGCCCAGAACGGGGCCTCTGGGGTCCGAGAAGCGCACCTTCTTCCCCCCAAACTATCGCCCCCCATGAAGCGCCGATCCATTCGAATGCCCACCGAACCGATGCGGCTCGATGCGTACATGCCGCCTTTGTGAATCCTGGCGCGGTTGATCCGATGCGATCACGACTCCGTGCCGATGCAGCTCGATCTGGCGCATATCCCAATCCGACCCGTTTCTCCGATTCGATGTTGACCGATCCTGCGACGAGGCACGGTGCGGCATCTGCCTCGTCGAGCCCAGTGCTTAGTGTGTGTTGATCACGCGATCGGCGATCACATATTGCAGTGATAGGTGGATCACGTGATCGGTTCCGCTTGGTCACGCGATCGTCTGAAATGGACTGTGTGATCGATCTGTGACAGGCGCGGTAGCCATCGTGATCATGGCTGCGATCGGATCTCGTAATCGGGTGGCGTGATCGGCCGAGTGAGCAACCAGACGCTAAGGCCCAGCGGCCTCCCGGGCGGCCGCGCCAGCCGCTACTGCGCCAACCCCGAGTGCCAGGGCGCCTTCTGCGGCGCCTGCTTCGGCGGCGGCCCCGGTGCGGCGCACCGCGCGCGGCCGCCCCTGCCGGGCCGCACGTGATGTGGTCAACGATCACAGGGCCAGCCGGCTCCCTCCGACCCCCTGTGGCTGACCCAGGTTCGTACCGGCCCCCCTTTGCTCCAAGAGGAACAGCTTGTGCTCATAAACGTAGCCGTTACCTTTTGGGGCTCCGCGCGGATCTCTTGGCTATGCACTGACGGCGCCTCCCCTGGTGCGCTTCGCGCGACAGGGAGAGGGGTCCAGCGCCGGTCCAAGAAATCGGCGCGGAGATCCAGGAGTTTATGTTTACGCAGCTCTTTTCGTCTTCGTCTTCTTCTTCTTCTTCTTCTTCTTCTTCTTCAACAACAACGGCACCCTACACTCGCCGATCAACGATTCGGGCAACTCGATGGGCGGCGGGGGTAGGGTTCGCAACTCGTGGAGCAACTTGCGGAATCCGAACCCTACCCCCGCCTCCATCTGATTCAGGCGGATCGATGGTTGAAAGGGGGTAGGCTTTGGATGTCGCCACCTGTACGACCTGGGTTTGGGCTGGCCTTCTTCGGGTTGCTCTCTCGGGGGCTTCTTGGAAGTAGTTTTGGGGCCCGTTGTTGGCCTTCGGGGGGCCTCTTGGTAGCCTCTTGGGGCCTCTTGCTCTTGAGCGTGGGGGCCTCTTCGGGGCCTTTTGCTCCTGGGGGGCATCTCGAGGCCGAGGGCTCGAAATGTCCCTTCGGGTTCCCCATCTGGGCCCCCGCTTGGGGCCGTCTTTGGACCCTCTTGGGCCGTCCTGGGCGCCTCCTATTAGACCGTCTTGGGGCCACCTTGGGGGCCTATGGGGCCATCTTGGGGGCGATCTTGGGGACCTCGTGGGCCGTCTTGGAGTGTCGGAGAGCCGAAAAGGCGAGAAGGCCAAAAGCCTTCAAGTACCTATGGGAAATCAATGGTGTTTGTCTCTTGGGGCCCTCTTGGGACGCCTCTTGGAACACTCTTGGGACGCCTTCAGGACCTCTTGGCAGTGTTGATGCCATCTTGGGCGTAACCGAGTGCCCCCGATATTAATCCCCCGGAGATAACTTAGTTCGGGTTTCCAGAAGGATCGTAGACTTTTTGCCCCGGCGAGTCGCACGTACGGATAGCACATAGCATATCACACGTTCGTGTTGACGGTTCTTCTCAAAGATAGCAATCCAGGGATAATGGCTCTTCGGCCGGCTCGGCGGCATCTCTGGCCTTCAGTCTGGCAGGCTGCGCTATACCGGAGTCCCGGAGGGCGCGCGCGGCACGCCCTCTGGAAGAGCGGGAAATCCCCGGGAAATCCTTGTGAAGCCGGCGGCGCAAGCCCTGAAGCCTTTTGTAAGACCCTACCACTCTGATTTTCTCAGGGCTGCATGTCGGGTATGGCCAGGACCCTAGGTAAGGGGACCCGGTTAGTGGTAGGGCCCTGGAGCCCCTGAATTGGCCAGAATCATTAAACCAGGTTTGCCGTAGGTGGTGTTTTCCCGGGTGACAGCAGTTCCGGTTAGTGAAACGGGGCGGGGGGGGCGTCCCCCAGTACACATCACTAAACCAGGTCCCACTAAACCCGGTTCTGCCAACGTCCGAGCATGAGCCCTGGGGCTCTCCACCTACTTGCTGCAGGCACGGTGGCGGACCTCTGCGCAGGGCGCGGTCTTGGCCGCTTTGGGCGGGCGTGAGACGTGGCTCTCGTCGCCCGCAAGATTTCGCGGTTCAGCTGCAGGGCGCAGGGCGAAGGACGAGGATGTGGAGGAGGAAGAGGTGGAGAAGATGGAGGGGGAGGTGGAGGCAACATTCTTCCAGGTCGCCTCCTAGGCTCCCAGATCTTCGTCGTCTGTGAGTAATGTGGTGGTCAAAGCCGCCAGCGGCCTAGAATCTGCGGGCATCGAGCGATCCGCGCCATCGGACAGCCGCGATCGTCCACGCAGCGTCAGAAGCCAGCGCCGGCGTCGTCACGACACGAACCTGCAGTCCCATGCCTCTTCCGCCATTCTTCTCGATTCTCCTTCGGCCGTCTTCAGTCATCCGTCCGTCTTCCTCACCTGCTCCTGAGGCCAGTATGCATCGGGGAAGGTGGAGGACGCGCTCCACTTCGCACCGCCCATCAACTGCCCAGGTCCTCGTCGTGGCCGCCTTCTGGCCTGCTTCCTCGTATCAATAAGAGGAGGATGGATCATGTACGAGCAGGAGGTGGAGCGGTGAGGAGGAGCAGAGAATGTTTCGGAATAGGAAAAGTGGATGGACGAGGAGGAATACGTTTCTTGGTGACGTCGCGGCATGGGGGGGGGCGCAACGCAGAGCCCGCCAGTGTCCTGGGAGGAGGATGAGGATGAAGAGGAGGAGGAGGAGGAGGAGGAGGAGGAGGAGGGGGAGGAGGAGGAGGAGGAGTGCTAAAGTCGAGATGGGGAACCAAATTCTAGGCCATGGGGACTGAGAGTTTCCCGCTGGCAAAGAGCTTCGGCGCTTCTATCAGGCATCGCACGTCTTCCCTACCAGAATCCTCCCATTTCTTGGCTGCCCCTTCCTGGGCAGCTGCGCCGATCTGGCGCCATGCACGAGTTGGAGAAATAAGAGGTGGGAATAACCTCAGAGGATGGGGAGGATGGATATCTGCGCCGTTCACAAGGCTGCCTTGAGATCGGGCTGTGCCGTTTGGGCTCCCGATCGTCCTGGACCCCGGCGCCATGTGTCTTCACCGATTTCTTTTCCACCGCTCACCCATCCGGACCCCCATGCAATCCCAAGGCCTTGCCGTGGCGGCCTGCCGCGCAAACGTGGCGCCCTGGTTCGCAGGAGTGGGAATAAACGTTGGGCATACAAGCTGTCGACCCGTGACAGGTCGGGGTGCTGCTCTGATCCAGTGTGGCCACGGAGTTTGGCTTGTGTGTGCCTCCGCCGAGCAGATTCTGGCCGTCCTGACGCCCGTGCAATGTGCCGAAGCGGCTGGAGCGGGATCTCCCTGCAATTTGTTGGCTATTTCACCCCGCTTGAAACTATCACCTGATGCCCTCCCACGGCTGGCTGCCGCGCCTACTGGAAGGGAAAGGAAGGAGAGGGTTTTCGAAAACGTAAAACGCCATAAATGTAACCTTTTGGCGCTCCGCGCGGATTTCTTGGATCCGCGCTGGGCCCCCCCCAGCGGCACCTCGGGCGCCGCCCCTGGCGCGCTCCGCGCGACAGGGAGGGGGGTCCGGCGCAGATCAAAGAAACCCGAGCGGAGATCCAAAAGTTTGTGTTTATGGCGTTTTTTTGGTTCTAGATTTGGGTGGATGTCACACATGGCCGAGTGGGCGGGCAGTCTGCACTCTGCAAGGGCGCCCTCGAGGGCGCGAAGTTATTCGCGCTTCGCGGTTCGGCTCCGATTCCTCATCCTCCTCTTCTCCCCTGGGAGGCAGCGCGAGAGCGCGAAGTTATTCGCACTTCGCGCTTCGCGCAGCGCGAAGCGCGAAGTTGGGAGCCCTTGCTACAAGCTGAGCGTGAACTTGGTGCAATATACGGCACTGCCACCCTTCAAAAGTGGAGGATCGCTCATAACCATTTCCCGAAAGATTTCAGGCCTGCTCGTTCTGCCGAGGCCGCTGGACGTGCGCGCAGGGCGTCGCAAGCTGCACCATGCCCAGCAGCTGCGACATCTGCTCTCTCGTTCACGTGTGCCCAACCATAGAGCGGAGCCCTTTGAAGAGGTAATGGCAGCTCTGAAGCCTGATGCTCCTCTGAGCCCCTCCTGCTGGTGCTCCAGCTGTTCCATGATTTTCGTGAGTTGCGTAAGCTTGTTGTGCATTGCTTCCTCGAATATTTCCGTACGCTTCTGAACTTTGAGCTTCATCTGGTAGTTTGTCACCTTCTGCTGCACATGGAAATTGGTCTTGAGGACCTGGTTGCTGATGTCTTCCGCCTTGGACTGTAGGCTCTGGTACTCCGTGGCGGGGTCTTTGGCTTTCGTCTTTGCGCCAGCAGAACCCTGCTGGGGCTGCTCGGTCGACTCCACCGGTGTGCTGCTATAAGATGCGTACTCGAGGTCTCCAGAGCGTCGGTTCCGCCACACTGTGGGATCTGTTCGGAGAAGGTTTCGTGTGCTCCTTCTTCTGCAAGGCCTTGGTGGTGGTGTCATCCCTGGGCTCTGGAGCCTCGCTGTCCCCCGTGACGCTACTGGCCTCGACGCTGGCGCTGCGTGGTGCTGCACTCCTAGCCCTGCCATGTCGTGCCTTCGAGGAGCTAGATTTTGGCATGACCCTTGTCGAGAGCGGATCGATACCCGAGGTGCTTTGGGTTTCTACCTCACTGACCTCGGCTCTGCCGACGGAGTTGGCCTGGTTGGTCTCGGCCACACCATCCAGCCAGCTGGCGGCAGAGTTGGACAGCGTTTTTTGATGCCTGGGCGATTGCAAGGGCCAGGGGGGGGGGGCGGGGGGCCGGTAATCTCCCGCTTCGCGCCGGCGCCGTTTGCGAACGTTTAGGAATAGTCCAACCCAATCTGGAGCTCAGCATGAATCGTGGTGTACCTCGGGGGGGAGGCGAGCGGCCAGGACTGGTAACGGCTGCTATCGCGAAAAATAAACAAACGCTCTCCTGTGAGCGTCGGGGCGGACCTGCATTTCCAGCTGAGCGACGCAAAAAACGAAGTCGTCTGCGCCGACATCGGCGGGTGAGCTGCCCGCATAAGCTCGCGCGTAAGCGCCCTCGTCTCCAAGGTAGCGTGCCGCGCTGGCGGCCCGCGTAAGCCGCCGCGTAAGGTCGCTGTGCCATTCGGCCACGCGCAGAGGGGGGTAGGGGAGGAGGGAAGGCTTCCTAGAAGCACCCCTGCTCCTCAGAAGGCGAGGGCTTCCTCTGCAGAGGCAGGGCTGGCACCCACTAAGAAGCAGCCTCCCCTCCCCCTACCCCGCTGTCTTCAGACGCAGTGTTCCGGCGTCGCCCTATTAGTACGTGGGTCTTCGGGGGATTTCATTTTCACATGCGTAGTACACTTCTTTGCGGTCGTGCAGAGGCTACCACAGGCCGCTGGAGGCTACTGAGGGCCGCTAAAAGGTAATGAAGACAGCTACAAGGCGACTGTGGCCCCTGAAGTCCGCTTATCTTTTGACACGATTTGTTTCTGCCTGCCTCCAGGGTGCCCTGGGCTTCTTGGGTTCAGTTGGTTTTCCCATGGGAAGCGTGACGCTCCCACGCCAAACATCGAGGAACGTCCTGGGGCTCAGGGTTGAAGAAATATCGCCATAAACATAATGTCTTCGCTCCGCTGGTCTGCGCCTTCCGCCTCACGTGACCTGCGCGCAAGTGGCCGCCCGTCGGGCCGTTTTTTGGCGCTCCGCGCGGATTTCAGGCTTTATCTTTTGATATGATTTGTTTTGGCGCTCCCGCGCGGAGTTCTTGGATCCGCCCTAGGCCCCCGGGCGGCGCCTCCGGCCGCTCCGCCCCCGGGCGCGCGCTCCGCGCGCGCCGGGGAGAAGGGTCTGGCGCGGATGCAAGAAGTCCGCGCGGAGCGCCAGAAGTTTGGGTTTACGTGTGGCGTTTCTTCTCCTTCTAAATATGGGGTCTTGAGGCATGGGGTCTTAAGGATAGGGGGTAATTGAGGTTTCTAAAGATAGGGAGGGATCGGGATAGGGAGGGATAGGGAGGGATAGGGATATGGATATGGAATAGGGAGGTATAGGGATATGGGCGTTTCTTCTTCTTCTCCTCTTTTTTTTTTTCTTCTTCTTATTCTTCTAAAGATGGGGTCTTGAGGGATGGGGTCTTAGGGATAGGGAGGACTCCAAGGGCGGATCTGCATTGTTTCAGGCACCTCGTCCTCAGGACCCCATCCCTGAGGACCCCGTCTCTGAGCCATCGAATGTGGCACTTGTGCTATGTCGTCTCGAGCCACTGGGAGAGTGCCTGGCTGATTTCGCGGCGGTCGTCCTCAAGACGCCGTCCCCACCGGATCGTTGCTCGCGGGGAGGGGCTGACTCAAGGCTGCTATAATCCTCGAGCCCCTGGCTTGAGGACGACGAGGAGGGGCACGAGGAGGAGGCTGAGGAGGGGGCTGAGGAGGAGGAAGAGGAAGAGGAAGAGAATTTACAGGAGAAGGAATGTAGAGACGGGGGAACAGCATGAGGATGGGTGTGAGGAGGATGATGAAGAGGATGAGGAGGTTTCGGAGGAGGGGTAGGAGCTCTAGGATGAGGAGGGGCATCAGCAGGACGAGGGAATGGAGTGTACACTCGAAAACAGGAGCTACTCACAGGGACAGCGCACGACTTCGGGAACGGGGGAATTAGCAGCAGCTGCTGCGGGGATTAGCAGCTTTTGGCCACGCATTGTTTTACCACGTTCGTCACGACCATCGAGGGCTCCCTTACTCCGCGTGCTCTTACTCTGGCCTCGCCGCCTCCTCCTCCTCCTGTTTCTCATCCTCGCCCTCCCTCTCCCCCCAGCAGCCAGGACGGGTTGGGATGATAGGGTCTCCCAGCTCCTTTCATTTTCCATTCGGCCTGACATAGTGTGGAGGCTTCCTTGCGTATAGGCTGACCGTGAGCCCCCATCAAGTCTAGTCGAGTCCCTCTCCCCTTCTCATCCTCCTCGTCCTCCACCCTAGCTGGTCCTTTCTTCTGATGGGGACTGGCATCGAAGACGCCTACGGCGAATCACCGCCGCCTCCTGCCTTTTTGGAAACGCCTATGTGGCCGACAGTTTCGCTAGAGCTTGGCCAAGCTATCGGACCATGAGTTCCCCGAGTCGGTTTGGACAGCATTCGGGGAACACGTGGAAGAGGAGGAAGAGGAAGAGGAGGGGGAAGAAAATGGAGAGGGAGGAGGAGGCCTCTTGAGAGCCTCTTGAGGCACCCTTGAGCTCTATTGGGCCATCTTGGCGGTCTTGGAGGCCATCTTGGCAGTCTTGGAGGCATCTTGGAGGCCATCTTACCCGTCTTGAAGGCCATCTTGGGCGTCTTGGGGGCCTCTTGGGCTGCCTTGGGGCCTTCTTGGGGCCCTCTTGGGGGCCTCTTGGGCTGTATTGGGGCCATCTTGGAGGCCTCTTGGGGCAATCTTGGGGGTCTCTTGGGCCGTCTTATGCGGAGCGCCAACAGTTTGTGCTTGTGCCGTTTTCTCTTCTTGTACTGCTCGCAGACCGATCCGATCCGGTCTCCATGCTTCGATGCCGATCTCCATCCGGTCCTTCACGGATCCATTCCCTTCTCCAGCCTTTGCAGGGGCCGAGCCTCGATCGCGAGACAGTTCAGGACCGATCCAATCCGTTTCGGATCCGATCCGATCTCGCGATTCGATCTAGCCAAGGCCTAGCATGAGTTCGAGGAGGAGTGTTAAGTCGGGCATGTCCCTCTACAGGAGGAATATGCAAACATAGTCAAAGCATACTATAGGAACGATCTCGTTGTTTTTTTACAAGATTTGAGCATTTTGGTTGTCATTTTCTCTCCTAACTACGCCTGTAGGGGGACATGCCCGACCTAAGAGGAGGAGCTTGGATGGTGTCGTAAGGGGGTAGGAGTAGGGGTAGAGCGTTATTAGTCAGGGAGTCTGCAGGGACTGTTGCACAGGAGGTTTCAGGGGGGGCGAGGTCGTGGGGAGGGGGTGGAGGAGTAGCCGGTTCCCCTGAGAAGCAGGGTTGTCATCATTCAGGGGCACGGATTGCGAGTGTTAGATGCCATAATGGTTTTCGTTTCTTTCTGCCGCCGCGGCCTGGTCGCGCGCTCGGGGATCAAGTGTGGCCCCGCCCTGGACGCACTCCTTCTCAAGTTATGAATTTCATGTGGGTAGTATTCCCAGAGCGGGTCGCACGAACGCTGATGGTGGCTCCGACCCCGACTTGTTCGTTGGTTTCCTGTGGTTCGCGAACTTACTTTATCGTGTTCGTCGCAGCTGCACGTGCTATTGATCCTTGGCCTGCTGATTCATCCAGTGAGCTCTTTTCGACATGGTGAACCTCGTCCTCTTTTCATCATTCGGCTTGTGCAAGGGTTGCCGCGCTTCAGGTTGCAAGAAGCGGGTGCGCACCTCCATCTGGACACCACTGGTACCCAACGAGGTGTTCCGAATGTGTTGTTGCGTGCAGAAGTCAGCGGAATTATGTAATGTTGCAGGTACTCTTCGCATCTGCTTGTCTCCTGCAAGTTCGCAGCGTGTGTGAGGCCCTCGTCGGCTCTAATGAGTTTCTGTTTTCAGGCTGCCGTCGTTGTGCCCTTGACGTGGGCAGACCTGGATGGCCGTGGCTCCAGAAGCTGTGTTGTCCCCATGGGAAACGGCAAGAGTACTGAGCGTGAGTCGCCGGGGAGCTTCCACGGGGAAATCTCGAAGGGCACTGCGCCCGCACAGCAGCTGTGCGTGGAACCCATCTTGTGTCCCGCAGCGGGGAGGAGGAGGAGGAGGAGGAGGAGGAGGAGCAGGAGCAGGAGCAGGAGGAGAAGGAGGAGGAGGAGGAGGAGGAGGATGAGGAGGAGGAGGAGGAGGAGGAGGAGGAGGAGGAGTCCCCAGAAATCGCCCAAACGCCGCTTAGGTCGACCCCTGACGCAGAGGGGCCCCCGCCGCAGATGTCGGGCGGCGTTCAGGGGCCTGGGTCGGTCCAGCCCCGATCCCCAAGCCCATCTCCAGATCTTGGGGGCTCCAGCCTCCTCCTCCTCCTCCTCCTCCTCCTCCTCCTCCTCACCTTCTCCTCCTCCTCCTCCTTTCTCCCCCTCCTCCCCCTCCTCCTCCTCCTCCTCCTCCTCCTCCTCCTCCTCCTCCTCCTTCTCCCACTCCTCCCCCTCCTCCTCCTCCCTTCCCCTCCTCCTCCTCCTCCTCCTCCTCCTCCTCCTCCTCCTCCTCCTCCTCCCTCTCCTCCTCCTCCTCCCCCTCCTCCTCCTCCCCTCCTCCTCCTCCTCCTCCTCCTCCGGTCCTCCTCCTCCTCCTCCTCCTTCTCCTCCCCCTCCTCCCCCTCCTCCTCCTCCTCCTCCTCCTCCTCCTCCTCCTCCTCCTCCTCCTCCTCTCCACAATTACTCAATATGAAAATACTCTCCCTCTTCCCCTGATGGCGTCCGGGTGATGGCCGCGCACCCTCCGCGTACTGTTTTTACACACAGGATGCCCGGGAAATCCCGGGAAACGACTCTCGCTGAGGCGCCGGCGTCATTTTTTCCCAAAATGCTGCTCTCGTTGAGGCGCCAGCCTCATTTCTGCTCTCGAATCGTTCCGAATCGTGCTCCCGCTGCAGCGTGGGCCTCATTTTCGGATCGGTGTTTGGCCTCCGTCGTTCAGGATGGCGTTCTCGCCCCAGCGCGGGCCTTTTTCTCGCGCGCCCATCCGCCCGCCACCACCGCGCCGCACCGCCACCACCACCACCACCACCACCACCACCACCACCACCACCACCACACCACCACCACCACCACCAGCACCAGCACCAGTACCACCACCACCACCACCACCACCCACCACCAGCACCACCACCACACCACCACCACCACCACCACCACCACCACCACCACCACCACCACCACCACCACCACCACCACCACCACCACCACCACCACCACCACCACCACCACCACCACCACCACCACCACCACCACCACCACCACCACCACCACCACCCAACCACGCACACACGCACGCACGCACGCACGCACGTGCACCACCACCCACTACGCACGCGCGCGCGGAGCCACAGGTCCGCTACGACACGCGTCCGCGGATAGAGAAAATCAGCGCCATGGTAAGGGATGGGAGGGAGGGGTAGGACGTCAGATATGACGCGAGCGCACCTAGCTTGCCCTCCTCCCCCTCCCCCTCCTCCCCCTCCTCCTCCTCCTCCTCCTCCTCCTCCTCCTCCTCCTCCTCCTCCTCCTCCTCCTCCTCCTTGTGTTATCGAGGACGCCAGCGGCGCATCGCCAGCCGCTCCCTGGGAGCTCGGCGAAGTGGCGCAGGCAGCATCGAGACCGTCGTGACGCGGCGCGCATGCCGGCTATATCCCTGATTGGGGATGCCTGAAAGCTTTTCCGGTGCCGTACGGGTATACTCTCGCACGTTTCGTGCCCCCAAGGGGGGCTCCACCGAAGGCTCCAGTTGCAAAGTCCCCCTGGCGCCGCCCCAGCCAAATCGGCGCATCCCCCATACGTTCGGTGTCTCCAAAGGGGGCTCCACCGAAGGCCCCAGTGGCGAGACCGCATGGCCTCACACGCTCCGTGGCCCTGTAGGAGGCTCCACCTTCAGGGGCAACGACCCCCTTCACGCCGCCCTGCCCACCCAGGCTTCTTTATTTCACGTGCGGACGCGAGCACGCACCGCCATGGGTGCTCGGACTCCCCCCAAGGCTCAGACGTGGACCTTCGGGAGCTGCGCAATGCGTTGCGCAGCTAGGCATGCAAGCGCCGCCGCGCTGCCTCCTGGCGCAGGGCAATTCGCCCAGGAGCAGCGCCGCCTGGCACCGCGTTGGCAGATGCTCCCGCCAACCCGGGCATGCGCACCCCAGCAGGCCTGCTGCCGACGCAGCACCGCCGCCTCCGCGGAGGCAGAAGACGTGGCCGGGCCCGCGCGCGAGGGCGTGGGGCCACCACGATCGCCCGGCGAAAAACGCGGTCAGCATGTCTCTCCTGCTGACGGGCGCATCTCGAAGAAGAAAAAACGCCATCAACATAAACTTGTGTCGCTCCGCGTGGATTTCTTGGATGCGCGCTGGGCTCCCCCGGCGACGCCTCTGGCGCCGCCCCTGGCGCGCTCCGCGCGCCAGGGAGGGGGGTTTAGCGCAGATCCCCAAAATCTGCGCGGAGTGCCAAAAGTTTATGCTTATGGCGTTATGTAATCCTACTAGCATCGGCACCGCTCTGGCGCGGGCAGGTCGGCGCAGGCGTCGCCCGGCCGGCGGGTGCGTCGGCCGCCAGAGCAGGCGCGGCGCTCACCCTGGGCGCCGCGTCGGACCCCGCGCCAGTCTCGCCGGAGGCGGCGGCGCCGCTGCGAGGGCAGCCTGCTGCGAGGGCAACCGTCACGCGCTGCGCAGCCTCCAACTGCTCCAGCTGCCGGCTGCGAGCCCGCACCGCGTCTGGCGGCGTCGCCCTGCTTGCAGCGGCGGCGCCAGCGAGGCCGACGGCCGCCGCGTTGCTGAGGCGATAGCGTTCGCTCAGCCCCAGGAGGCGCGTCTCCGCTGGCGTCCTGTGAGCTTGTACCCAGCGGGCCTGGAGCCGTTCGCTGCACAAGGCATGCACCAGCAGATGCCACAAGTCGGCGTGGCCCCGCAGGGAGTTCCACCGACGGCGCCCGTGATAAAGTCCGCATGGCGCCGCCCAGCCTTTTCGGCACACCGCTCACGCTTCGTGGCGCCACAGGGAGCCCTACCGGGGGCCCCAGTGGCAAAGTACACATGGCGCCGCCCCAGCCATTTCGTCACACATACCTCTCATACGCTTGGTGGTCCCATAGCTTGCTTCACCAGATGCCCCAGTGGCAAAGTCCGCGTGGTGCCGCCCCGGCCATGTCGGCACACCCCTCAGACGCTTCGTGGCCCCATCTGGAGCTCCACCGAAGGCCCCATTGGCAAAGTCCGCATGTTCCAGCGTTTTTTCGGCACACCCCTCACACGGTTCGTGGCCCCGTAGGGTGCTCTGATGACGGCCCGAGTGGCAAAGCCCGCATGTTGCCGCGCCGTTTCAGCACACCCCTCACGCTTCGTGGCCCCACAGGGAGCCCCACCGATGGCCCCAGTGGCGGTGTTCGCATGCCGCACCGATCATGTCGGCACGCCCCTCACACACTTGGTGGCCCCATGGCCCCAGCCTTCCTCTCCCCTCACCTACCTTGCGGCGCTCACACCTGCATATGGTCTGGCCCTTTGCCAGGATAATGCTTGATGACTATGGCCTTCCTGGGAGCCTCCGAGGAGAGGTTCTTCGACCATCGGGGGCCTCGAGTCCGTTAGGGCAGCTTGGACTATGATGGGTCATTTTTGGGCATTGTTTGACCAGCATGCGACCTGCCACCCATTGGCCCGTGCTTGTGCTTCTTGTGTGCCCGCTCTTGGGGGGACTTTGAGCGCCAGTTCGGTCCCTAGACCCCCAGGGGTGACTAGTTGACAGCGCACGGCGCAGCCATTCTAGAGTTCTCTCGCAGACTCGCCGCCGCGATCAGACGGCAGCTAGGACTGTCCCAGCTGGGCATCCAGAATTGGGTCGGGGGCGCTGTCTGGGCCGAGACTTTGGGGTCAGTCTCGGCTAACCAACCCATCCTCGCACCACCGGGCCATGATATAGTGGAGGCCCATGCCAAGAAACTCCTTGCTTGCCTCCAGGGTGCCCTGGGTTGATTGGGTTTCGATTTCTTCTGGAAAGCGCGACGTTCCCACATTAAGAATCGATGGACGCCCTGGGGTCTCAGGGTTAGGTTTCTTGTGGAAGGTTTCTTGTGGACTTGCCCCCCACTGAAGGGATTGGCGAAACGGTGCTCGTTCGGGGGGGGGGAGATGATGGGCCAATTCTCCACCACCACTACCATAGGCAGGGCGATGGAGAGGTACGCCTCCTCCTCCCCCTCCTCCTCCCCCTCCTCCTCCTCCTCCTCCTCCTTATCCTCCTTCTCTTGCTCCTCCTCCTCCTCCTCCTCCTCCTCCGTAGCCATTTTGGCTCAAGCCATTTTGGCTCAAGATGCCTGGCTCCCTCGGGGTCAAAGTGGAGACCTCTGTTCCGAGGACAGCTCTCGCCAGCTTTCAGCTCCAGGGACGCGCACCCCCCTGGAGTGTCGAGTCTGCCGCATGCCTAATGGAGAGCGAGCGGTCCCCGCGCCGCGCCGTGTCAAGAAGAAGGCCAAGGGCAAGCTCCAGAAGGCTGCTCGTGGCGATGCTGCTCGGGAGCCCGAGGATGTCGTTGATGACTCGCATGATGATGACGCTGCTGCATCTCTCACTCGCCCTTCTGATGCACCTGGTCCTGCCCCTGCACAGGCTCACGCTGATGATGATGACTGGCATGGTGATGCCATGGAAGAAAGCGATGAGGAGCACGACCGCGACGCCTACGTACAGCGCCTCGCGGGCGACCTCGTCTCCAAGAAGATGGCCGAGCACAG